AACACCGGCTGAACAATCACACATTCAGCAAACGTGAGAAAAACAAAAACAAAGGGCATTTGTACCAAGGAACAATAAGAGATATTCAAATTAGTACACCGTTTATTAATTTGCTTGTAATTATAAAGAATGTGCAGACTGGGAGGAAGCCGTCACACGTTATGATGACGGGATGACCGATGCTTGTCCCCCTTTGTCCCAGATGGGTTCAAACATCCTAAATCCACAGATAAACAATGGCAGCTCTGTAAATCACAGCTCACTGACAACAACAAGCAGCCTGCATGCAGACACTCACACCAGAGCTCTGCTTACGTCCTTTTGTTATTTGCATGTAGCTGTAATCAGATCCAGACAACAGAAGGACTGAGCGCCTTCAGTCATCTGTTCATGTCGTCTAATTGCTGCCAGCAGTTACAGAAACCAGGAGCTGAATTTAGAGGCGTCACCACAGCGAATGACTCTGATGTGCAAGTTTAAAACAAAAGATGCGACAGAATGGAGACAGCCAAACACGACTCTCCCCGTCGGGACAAGTTTAGACGAGAGATGACAGCGACGGTGTCAAATGAAAACCTCCTGAAGCGTCTGGCTGCAGCATTTGGCAACACAACAAAGAATAAATGCTGAGGGATGATGTGCAATGCATCAGTCAGATGTAGGAGATGAAGAAAGCGCAGAGCAGAGATGGAGAACACTGAGGAGAACTTCTCTTCTGCCCAAACCTATGAGTAAAACACACTGTCCACAGACCCGTCTGAGTGCAGGGCACAATCAGTCAATCAAGTAAAAAGGTGTGTTTTAGTGCAAATGTAAAAATGGATCTAAAACAACAACAGTACACAATTTAAATGGAGACGGTGTGAGTGACGACGGGCAGAGAGGAGGACAGGAAATGTGAGTCGACTCTAGGCCTCTCCAAACATGCAGGAAGATTCTTTATCAAACAAAACAGGCTTGTGCTTGTAATAAGTCAGAACGTCTGCCAAGTTCATGCAAATTCTTGTGTCATGCCTGCATGTCTGTTTGTTTCACCAGCTTCATGTATTCATCTACATGTGAGTCCAGTAGTGGAGGGACTGAGATGCTGAGTGTGTGCTTCAGTTACCGTCTCATGAAATGTCACTTTGACAGTCAGCGGCCCAACACATGCAGATGCTTGTTTATGTCAGCGTGTCGTGTTTGTGAAAGCAACGAGACCAAGTCCAGAGCTGCAGCAGCTGTGGGTCGATGACTGCTGTGTGCTTGTGTCTGAGTGGGCACCACTGGACCAAGTGGAGGAAGAGGAGGAGGATGAAGAGGGAGACGGTAATCGGAGGAGGCGATGCTGGATGCTGGGATGCTTGAAGAGGCTTCACATCTGGTTGGACAAGCCTGGCCATCGAGCAGGTTGCGTTCTGGACCACGTCTCTCCCCAGACCCTGAGTGCGACTGGTTCTTGTCATGTGTGACTAAATTGTGATTCTCATGGTCCTGTGTGGGGTTTTTTGGTTTAAGTCCTCTGCAGCTTTTTCAGCGCGTTTGGCTCTGATGGCTCGTGGTTGGGCTGGACTGGTTTGGTTTGATTGTGTCCGGGGTGTTTGACTGAGCCAGTTGGGTGGGGTTCTGAAGTTCAGGCAGGAAGACAGGCGGTACCGGTTGGTCTGGCAGTGTGGTTGTTTGTAATGAATTCAGTGGGTCAAAGCAGAGTTTGTTTCTAGACTCTGGCCACAGGAACCTGGATGCAAAACGTTTTTGAAGTTTGTAGCCGATGATTTGAAATGCCTGTTGTCTCAGCACCACAGTGGTCCAGAGGGTTCTGTCCCATACGGTCTGCTGATGCGTCGTACTGCTGGAACCGAGCCTTCCTACAGTCTGGACAAACTCTTTCTCCTCTGTGGTCCTGGGCGAGAATGCGGTTCAGGATGGAACAGTTGAGCTCTACCAGAAAGCAGCACCACCGGGACCGTGAACCAAGACTACGTTCCACTGGTTTGGCTTCAAAGCATGCTCGGTGCTCCAGCGCTGCCACCATGGCACTAAATCTTGGGTTTCCTCACAGAGTCTGAGTTGGGCTGACTGAGTGAGCTGGACTGAAAGGATAGCAACCAGCAGGAAGAGTTGATTAATGTCTGTTCAATGTGGAGCTTCTGAGCTGGCCAGGAGTAACGGTGTTGTTCGGTTAGGTCTGCTTGGTTCAGAATCTGGCTCTGGATTAGAAATTCAGTCAGTAGAAGGACTAGATTCAGGTCAGGCCAGGATGGGATGTGGTTCTGGTTACTTGTTCAATGGGAACTACTACTGGACTCGGGTCGGGCCTGACTGGTGGTCCGTGGAGCACCGTAGAGGGTCACTGATGCTATGTGGTTGTTCTGCATCACCTGGGGAGGAAAGCAGTCAACAGTTAGCGTTGCAGGTCGATTCACAAACAGCAGCGTGTCAAACCCGAACCCAGGGCTTATGGTTTAAACACATCTCACACCAATGAAGACGTGGGCTCCAGACTGCCTCCAGAATGGTCACATACAGAACCACTGTTTGAGTTTATGCAAGTTAACGTTTCACTTCGTTGGCATGAGCGTGTGATGATCATGAAGTGCTCCTCTGGCCATAGTGGTGGAAGCCCCAGCAGCTGACACATGAAACGCTCCATGAGCTGCTCCATGATGAAGCAGTCTACAGGTGACTGTTCAGAAACAGAACGAGGAGCCAGAGGAGGCTGGTGGAGATGGAGAGGCCCTACCTGACCCTAACTCCTATGATGAGGAGCAGGCAGGGAGACAGCGACTGACATGAAAACGAATCACAATCAGGATCTTGGCTTCCCACGGCTCAGTGAACATAATCAACTGTGGTTCTGACATTTAATCTGCCCTGCACTCCAGGAAACCTCTGCACACATGAAACGGTCCATGTAGAGGAGACGACTGGGTTCAGCGCGGCTCAATCTGGCATTAAAACAACATATTTCACTCTTTTCTCAGTAAGCTTTGGTCACATACCTCTCTGACTGAACCTGCATGCCGGGCATGTCGGGGGCCGTGGACAAGCGTAGCGTCCGTCAGTAACCATACGTTCAGCCAGTGAGGACTTCAGCTTGTGCCCAGTTTATGGAGTGAATCTCAGACAACCTCCACGAAAACACATTTTCTGATGAAATGCTGATCTGTATTGCAAACACCAAGCCTGACGTCACTAATAATGCTTAGATCAGGGCAAAGTCAGCTACTGACTGATGAACAGCCGGACTACAGCAGGGTTTGGGAGCTGCCACAAACCATGAACCCACATCCTCAGTTGCTGCCACCAGTGAAAGCTCCGTTCAGAGCCCTGACATGCTTTGCATTCTGGTAGCATCCACCTCTAAATGACATTGCTCCGATTCTCACCTCCTTCTGACTGAATGCTGTTTCATGAACACATGGCACCTGTCTGACACACTGACAATAGGATCAAAGAAAGAAAGACAACCAACAACCAAACTTCTACACTGTAAGGCCAGCCGAAGCTCCAGAGACAGCACGTGTTCTGACCTCAAAGATCATCCTCTGCAGGCCGAAGCAGAAGGTGGAGCCAAAGGGGTTGGTGTTATTGGCTGATGAGGACCTGTCAAACACAAAGGTCAGACAATGTCAGCCACGCGTCCAGTTCACGACAGGAACCATCTAAGTGTGTTAAGTTAAAACAACATGAGGACCTGATCTCACAGACTGTATGTGGAACACATTTAAAACAGCTCAACCATGTGTATCCGTAGTTTACCTGTGAAGCACGACAGGCTTTTCCATCGGGTGGCCAAGCAGCTCCTGAATCTGATCCCACTGAGAGAGAATCAGAAAGTTAGCAGACAACTCAAGACGACAGCGCTGGGAGCAGACTAACAGGAAACCCACTACAAGGTCATGAGAGCCTTATAAAAGGTTGACTGGAAAAGAAGAAGAGCTTGTAGCACCTTCGAGATGATGTGTTAGGAGAACCCAAACGTAACACGACAGATCTACTGCAATGGATGTTTAAAGCACGACTGGGGCACACATAAGAATCATATTATGGGACGTTGTCATATGACTTCATCTGTGGAAACATCCAAATGACGGGAGCTGCAGTTTTCTGTACACCACAGGTGACATTTAAAATGACAGGTCGAGGGAGTAAAGGCTCCAGGAACCTGGAGCTAAACAGCTACCTGTGAACTTCTAAAACCTTACAAAGTGGGAAAGCCACATATGTTTATGGCACGAAACAACCGCTTTACTAACGATGCAAAGATGAGGATTTAGAAAAAGTGATGCCAGAGCAAAGTAACTGACAAGTCCCAAACTTATGATTGTTAATCAGAAAGCTGAAAAGATTGTGTCAGCTCATCACTGGCCTTCCACAGCGCCCCCTTGTGAATTTACAAAGCTGACCTCTGGCTGGTGTACTGACCTTGCTGTAGGTAGTTAAGATGCAGTCTTCTGTCTGAGAATCAGCTCCTTCTGGAGCACATGGAGTCAAAAACAGAGAAGCAGACTTCAGATCAAAGAAGGGTTTTGAAAATAATCCCATTAAAGTGACTGCTGAGCCTCAGATGCGTCGTCATGTGTGATGAGGTGGATGCGTAGCCAACAAACGTCTTACCTTTTTTAATGACCAGTGGAATCTTAAAGTCACAGCGATGATATCTGGGATGAGACAGAAAGCAGAGTTAAAATGGGTTCCAACAGGGACAGAAATGCAACACTGGAGGAGATAACAGCAGAGAAACATCATCAGCGATGAGCGAGACAGACAGACGTAGAAGTAAAACAGAAAAGGAGCACAATCAGGTCAACAAGACATAAAGACATTTACATATTGAAGTTGTAATGTCCAGGGTAGTTGGTGTGGAGGACAAACTTCTTAACCAGGTGAGTTGTCGAGTCAAACAGGATATCCTGAAAAATAAAAAACAATAATGAGGATCCCTTTGGCAGTACTCTGCTGTATGTGTGGCCAGAACAGCCCATTACAGTCCTATCTGCCACAAGCACAGGGTGAGCAACAGCAGATAAAGGCACAACTACACCCCACATCCTTCAGAAGAGGGACCTCTCTGTCAGATCATCTTAACAATGTCTGCAGATGAGCTCATCCTTTTACTGTCCCAGCCCAGATTGTCCAGATTGTCTGGGGAATTTAGACGGCAACACAACGCGGTCACGGCAGAAGATCCTTCGTGTCAAAATCTAGCTGACAGAGGGACAAACTCCAAACATCTAGAAACAAAACCTCAAGCGGTGCTGTCAAAACACTTGCGTGAATCCTGCTGCAGAACTATATCTACATAGTCCCCTGTCAGCACGTAGACGCAACTACAAGCAGGGAATTGATGAGCGATGACACCAGGTTGAGCTGGCATCCTCCCACACTGGGCAACAGTCCCGATGTGGAGGTTCTGAGTTCGAATCCCGCTCAGGGCTGATAACATTTTGGGCTGCAAGGTGGTGCAGTTGGTTAGCACCGTGGCCTCGCAGCTAGAAGGTCGCCGGTTGGCGTCCCGGTGAGGACACCCGGGGTCTTTCTGCGTGGAGTCTCCATGTTCTCCCCGTGCAGCGTGGGTTCTCTCCGGGTTCTCCGGCTTCCTCCCACAGTCCAGAAACANGTGGCAGCATCATGATGAAGCACGGCGGTGGCAGCATCATGATGTGGGGATACCTCTTGGCAGCAGGTCCTGGAAGGTCTGTAAAGGTGGAGGGTAAAATGAAAGCAGCAAAGTGTAGAGAAATCCTGGAGGACAACCTGATGCAGTCTGCGCAAGAATTGTGACTTTGGAAAAGATTATTTTTTCAGCAAGACAACTAAACGAAATGGTAAATACTTTATATCGGCAGCGTGTGTGATCAGCTGATATGATTACTGCACACATGTCCCAAGGCTGATTCTCACATGTTCTCTGACAGTTATGATGCATGTGTTGTTGTGTTTGTACGATTTTAGGAGGCTTTTGAAGAGAAAAGAATAAAACACAATAGTTTTATGTCCTGGTGGTAAATGCTAATGCATACAACGAAAACACATGAAGACAAATTCATTTATTGACAGAGGGAACCCCATATGTTAGGGGACAGAATCCATTTAGAGGAAGATTCCAACTACAGCAGGTTACACCGTTCTCTCTCTTTGTGTATTGAACAGGCTTAGACACAAAGCAAACGTTCAGCTAACGCCCAAAGTAAAAATCAGTGACGTAAATGTCAGTGTGAGCACAAAATAAAAACCTCTCAATCCTTTTCACATCCACGTTTTTATTATTGTTTTTTCATATCCTGGTTGCACACACAGAAAATGAACTTTGATGTCAATGAACAGTGAGCATTTGATTAATAAAGACCAGATGTTGCATTGAGTTGTTAGAGATTGCACAGCAGGAGCACATCTCCTCACGTTTAGGAGCAAAGCTTTCAGTCAACCTAATCTTTCTCTTTGCACTACATGATATTGTTATTGCCTTTGTTCCAGTGGACATGCTGAATAAATCTACTTATTTCTTCATACACAAAGTTATAGTATTCAAAATATAAAACACCACATTCCAATGAATTTCACAAGTTTTTGTTAAGTATGACCGACCCATTTCCAGAAATGGAGTCCACAAAAAATATTCTGAAGGAAGTAAAGTAGATGGGCAACAGAACACATGATACCAAGAGCAGACAATACGAAGCGTTAATATGGGACTATCATTAAACCGAAGCTGTCCGTTATAAATTACAACAATCTGATTGTTGATCATCACTCATTCTTCCATTCAGTGAAAAAAAGCCACACACAGACCTCCGGATTTAGTTTCCACTTGTTTTTCCATCCTAAAAACTTTAGAAAAACAAGGATGTGATATGTCCACCTGAGTTAGGGTGAGATACCCAGCACCCTACAGCTGCTCTCGCCCCTCAGTAGCAATGCTTCATCACAGCACTGACCGTCCATGGCACTGGGCTGGGCTTTCCAAAACTGGCTAATAAGCAGAATCTTTTCTTTTCTTCCTCTTGGTTTCCCAAAACAACTATATTTATGTACACTGTCTGAAAGCAGCATCTTCATTGACTGGATTCACTGCTGCCTCTTTCTCAGTTCATATCTTTGTCCCATCTGCTTCCAATGGAGCAAAGCTGTTTTGGGCGATGACCAGCTTATTCAGATACACCAGAGGGTGGAGAGACAGAGTAGTTTGTTTTCTCCTTTAGGTTTTAGTTGAAATCTTCTGTGAACGTGCACTTTTCTCTGTATCGGTTGCCATCCTCGACCTTCCGTTCGGTAAAGCTGCACTGCACTAATCACATGTTCCACAGTAACTACATGACACTGGTGTGGGCACTGAGTGTGGTCACAAACAACCATCCCACATCAACAGGGAGACAGAATGAAGCACAAACACTCGGATGGCGAAGAAGACAAGCCTCCTGCTTTTGGGAAACCCAACCCAACCTGCCCCTCTGCAGATAAATGACTGAGACGGCCGTAACACCATGTTAGCTTGCTGCTAGTGCTCAGTGACACACACACACACACACACACACACACACACACACACTGTACAATGATGCAGTTCAAATGCATTCTCAAATTGTATGTACAAGGAGATTCCTTTTTACAGAGGAGATAGAGACAGAAGTCAAAGACAGGCTCGGTGGGAGATGAGGCACAATGTTCAACAGCTTTGTGTTGCTTTTTTTTTTTTTTTGATTTTCCCATATTTGCTTGCACGAAAGCAAGTAAAACATTTTGAATATAGTGTTCATGACAGTAACATTACATGTGTTCCCCTACACAACAAGGAGGAACCACCACAGGAGGAGGAAACAGCTCATCGGAGGTTACAGGGCAGCCATCTCTCCTGAACGTCTGAAACCTGGGAGCCCACTGACAAAATGCTTGTATTTGTTGGCATTAGATGTGGAAATATTACCCTAGCTTTTGGGTTCCCGGTCTAAGAAACCACGCAGCGGAACATCAGCAACCACACCACCTCGACAAGGAGGGCGTCTGGCTGCAGGCATGCTGGAGCTGAACAGAACAAGGAGATGCAAAATCTAGCACATGCCAAAGCTCGAGTCCTAATCCCACTTTGTCCACTGCACAACACATGGCCACCGGAGCGCTCTTCCAGTCCAAGTGTGAAGAAGTGCTGCTGCTTTCCCTGCCTGTGTAAGAGGAGCTTTGTGTTTTCTGCCCTCTCTGTGGCTCAGGCATGCAGGGCCTCCTACTGGCCCAGGCATCTGGACACTGGCAGCCTTAGCATTGCACATGAAGACGTTTCAATACTGAGTGGTCTGAATTAAAATAATACTAATTTGAAAAAATTCCAGTGATTTTGTTTGAATGAGTCAGGTTCTTCCTCCTGAGTTCAATCTGATCAGAACGGAGGAGGAAGCATGAAGCCTGAGTGGATGCCAAGCCGCTAGCATCATGGAAATAAGAGCACACCACTATTTACAGCATTTGTACATCGACATTAACTCCACAAGTGTTAGAGCCGGAATACTTGAAAATCAGAGTCTCAGAACGACAAATTCATTGACTCGACCAATAAATCAGATGGTAGATATTCAGATTATGATGTAAACCCATTTGCATGTTGTTCAATGTTTGATTCCAAACAGGGATTTTAAAAAATAGCTGCAGTTGAACATTTAAGATCCTAGAAACGAAAACTAGACAATAAAACTGGCACTTTATCGGAGCGAGTTTGAATGCCAAAACTCAATTAAAACTGCTCCATCTTATGTATACATAACCCTAACCCCGTCATCATGTATACATAACCCTAACCCTGTCATCATGTATNTCTCTAAGTGTAGCCCTGTGATAGACTGGTTACCTGTCCAGGTGAACCTGCCTTCACCCTGAGTCAGCTGGGATAGGCTCCGCCCCCCATGACCCTAGTGAGGATTAAGGTGTAGATGATGGATGGATGGATGAGCGATGAACTTTCACAGCACGTGTGTCCTAACAGCCTGGACAGTCTCCTTCCTTTGTCAGTTCATGTTAAATAATATTTAAAGTGCATGCAAGTGAGCCTCAGAGACGTGTTTCTAAACACACACACATCAAACCAGCCGTGCACTGTTGGCATGTTGAGGATTTTCTGGGCAGGAACTTTTCAGTGACTTTTCAGGAATTTTCAGTGACACTAGAGCCATAATGTGCATGAGCCCTCTCACTAGCAACATTATGTTATAAAACACCTTAGCACCAGTTGCTAGCTAGCTAGCCATGCCTTTGTCTCGTAAACGCATCATCTGTTGATGCCAGAATTTGCGGAACGGCTCAGTCTCCTTATTTAAATGTCCTTAGAGGGATGAGATAAAGAAGAGTTGGATTGATTTTGTGAAACTCAGCATCAGCCTCTGCAGTGACCTTTTTACACTGAGTAGTTTAGCCAACCTTCATCAACAACAGCTGGGATTCACAAACACTCCAGCGGTACTCGTGATGATAAGTGGTGTCGGAGCGAACCCGGCCTCCATCCTTCCATCCTGTTACCATCGCTCACCGTGCCTTGTGTGCTCAATTTGTTACCGAGGGCAACCAAAAGTTCTGAATCCACAGAGAGCATTTGGGATTTAACATCTCGTCTGTCTGATTCGGAAAAAACAACTCAGGTCAGTTTGGGGTGAGCTTCTTCAGCAGGTAAGGTCTCGGCATTCCTGAGCAGAGAGGACTACTTTCTTCATGATATTGAACCCAGTTATGCGTACGTGGTGACTCGGTGATGACTCGGCGGTGACTCGGTGGTACATCAGTTATCTAAAGACATGTTGTACTTCCCCGGGCCATGAGCAGCTCCTACTAGGATTCACCATAACCATATTGATTTGTCACCAACACACATTAGCATCAGCAAGTCTGGTGCCAAACTTTAGGACTTCACCTCTAAAACGACACAACAAACATGGTTCGAGCAGGCGACCCAGACTTCCCAGTTAGTACAGCTGCAAACACTCTAAACACAGCTTTCATTCAAAGTGGTCAAAGGTGCTCAAAAACAAGTCTATGCATCCAGTCACATACAGCACAGACAGCCAGGCTGGACGTACCACTCCCAGGGTGAAGTAGTTGAAGAAGTAGTCGTTGCATTTAGAAGGAACCTGCTTGTGAGGCGATGGAGAATGGATCTTCATCTAAAAACAAACAGGAAACGCTTTGATTTTCATTTTATAGCAATTATATTGAATACAACTTGTCAAATAATGAAAACAGGGGGATACAGGGTGACGTCCAAACTGTTAAAATGAGTCATTTACAGGAATAGCACCGTCAACAGAGCAAATGTGTGATGAAAGCCCTGCTACCTTGTCCTCAGACTTGTAGAAGACTTTATGTGGCGAGCCCAGAGCACCCAGTACATCCTGACAGGAATCTCCAAAGAAGATGCATCTCTCCAGAGACCGGACTTTCGCATCCGCCATCACACCGAGACCACAACCTGCACTCACGCATAAAAGATCACCGATGAGAAAACACGGAAAACTGGATCTTTACAGTGTTCTGACTTCAATCTCAGCTACTAGAGACACATTCAGGGGACTGCAGCTAGGTCAGGGTTACATGATATAAACAGAGCTAATGCTAGAGAAAGAAACACATTCAGCCTGACGTGACAACACAGAGAACAATGCACTGCCTGTGAAACATGTGGACAAGCTGTCCAGCAGTGTCACACAGGAAGAGGAAGTCGTCCTTCGCAGTGCTCCAGACAAACAGGTGTAGAGATGTGTGCTACCTGCAGTGAGGAGGCGGAGTCTGAGCCCCAGAGGCCCTGCCCCATCTCTCAGGACATCCACACACTCTGCATAGATGTTGCCAAGGAAACAAGCCAACGGCATCGCAGGAGCTCTGAGGACAAAGACAAAGAATGTTTGTGTCCCTTATTACGGGCCTTCTTCATTCAGAGGCGGCGGCTTTTTTATCATGTTTTCTTTGTTCTGCCAGTTTGCAACTGTGGAGGCTTCAAACCCGGCAGACATAACAAGCTCAATGAGGATCTCAAGCAATTACGTTTTCCCCAGGCCTCATGGGAGCGTTGGGATTAACCGCACCTTGTTTCTTGCAGGTTGTTGCCAGTGTAGATGTGCATCCTCTTGACCATGGCCCCGTGTGGAATCTGCAGGGAGGCCAAACCCACGGCAAAGTTAGGCTGCCAAGGCAAACAGCTGGGAGTAGTAAGGACTGGTGGGACCACATTAATATAAAAGAGAGAGAGCTATTCCACGTACAGAACGAAGTGACAAAATGTGACAGAGGAGCGAATCGACCGACCCACACAGCAAAGTGTTTTCAGTGATTGGTGACATTGTGTTTTAACCCAGCCTGGAGCTCTTTCAGACAGCAGCCTTTAATCTGAGAGGTTCAAGATCCAATCAAACGTCACCGTGACTCAGCAGAGCTCACTTCATCTGGTGCTCAGACGACTGCGCCAATCACACCCAAGTGAAATTAAAGCAGAGGCTTGTGGGTGTTCAGACGTTTTAAAGCCTTTTATCAGGGCGATACGTTTTCTTGGCCCCCAGAGGACGCCGCTGAATGCATCACTTCACTTACATGGAAATGGGACCAGACTTGGTTTGAGCTGAAGGAAAAGGCAGCTAACAGTAAGCATCGCTCACTGAGAGCATTTTCAATAATGCCAACTTAAACAAACTGATTAAATCCTACATGTCTTGTTTTTTCCTGTTGTCATTGTGTTTTGTGAAAATCAATGGAAAATAATTCTATGACAACTGAGGCAGGATGATTTGAGGAAACGTGTATTTGCAATTTTTCTGACAGATATTGTGAAAGCAATTTGATTTGCAATTTGATTTTTTGGGCATTTTCCCTGTAGCTAATAGAAACAGTAGTAAGAGACAGGAAACATTGGAAAAGAAGGCAGACGAATACCACGCAGTAAAGGTCCGAGCAGCCAGGACTCAAGCCGGGAGTTTACTGCTGATTGCATGAGCGTGCGTGCAGGACGTGCACTTCATTTTTTAAAGTCAAGCTTCACTTTAATATTCACTGTGGACCAGATTTTAAACAGGATGGAACATTAGCACATGACATGCCATCAACAGCCTGACTGTCAGACAGGAGGGCAGCATCACATGTTAAAACCAAAGACATGACAGGATAGAGCCTGGGCCACACATGCTGCATGACGGGCATTCTATATGTTCTACATAAGTGCAGACCACTCTGAACTGCAGCCTGTGTGATTTGCAAATTAAATTGCTTCAAATTGTGAATTTGGTTAACTGTTTAGGGTGAAATATGTCTTGAACATGAAGCAGTATAGATCCATCAGTGTGCTAACCCTAACCCTGTCATCATACACACTGATGACAAGGTGAAGCAAACACAGCTCCACCTCAGAGCGCCTGCATGCAGCGCAGTCACTTCAATCACAAGGCTGGCCTCACTCTCCCGGGATGAGAGGAAACGACCACTCAGCTCTTCCTTAACGGGCTGCCAAGCAAATCAATGAAGACATTCTCACCTCATATTTTGGAGCTTCGTTCCATGAGTCCAGTTGAAAGGAGAAGGACAGTCCTCGGAAGTTGAGATGGAACAGCTGCTCTGCAGCATTGTACACTGGACAGAGAGGCATGGAGGGGACAGTGCTTTATAAAAGGCCACATAATGAGATCAAAACATGGCTTTACTTGTCTGTTCAAACATTGTGTTTGTGCTTTGAGGATACCTCCAGGGTGCGTCGCTCCAAATGACTGATCTATTTGCTCTATTGTGGGGGCAATGGCCTGAGAGTTGAAATGGACTCCACTGAAACACACACACAGGTTTAGTCCATGAACATTCATACAGGCTGTGCTGCATTAGCTGAAGGGCTACTGCCAGCAAAATGGATTCCATCGAACGAAAGATAACCAGGAACACATAATGGAAGTAAGGCATTAACATTACTGTGACGTCATTCACAAAGCAGCAATAAGGCCGTCTGTGAGGAGCCGGGACTCCAAGGTGGTCTCAGCAGCAACAGAACAACATCTTTATGCCAATATAAACCACAGAACAACACAGACTCCCGTTCTGGCTGCAGCAGTGCTTATTCCATACATTTGATTATTTACATTTCTTCTTACCAGTATTTCAGCTTGACTTTGCTCAGGTCATACACTTCAATCACCTTTAACACAGAAAGATAAAGAAAAGGTTAGCGCACAAACGTCCAGCGTCCAACATCTCTACCAGCTACAGTCAAGCTTTTTCACCTTGAGTCTCTGATTTGTGGCATCAAACAGCAGCTTAATCCCATCCTGAGTCAAGTTCAGTATGAGGTCATGGCTGAGCGGCGTCTGCAGGGGAGACAAACAAACTCGTTAATTAGCAGAGAGCTGTGGACGTACAGGAACGCCAACGGAGCTCGGATCAATGCTTTTTATTTCTGCTACATCTACTGAGTTTTAGGACAACGCTGGACTGCAGCTTTTACAGCTTCAAACAGACGGTTGGGATGTCCAATTGTGACAAACAGAAAACGGAGACGAAGGCAGAGGTTTGTCTTTCAGGGCGGTTAATGACATTAATTCTGCATCCTAATGATAAATGGTCTTTTTCAATGTTTTTTTGGTGCTTTTATTGTCATTTTTATTGTTTGATCGTTGCTCTTTTTCCTAAAGCAGCCTGCACTAAAATACAGCAGAGCTGCAGGTTATTATCAGCGAGCAGGACGTTTATTCACATGCTGCCACCGGCTGATGCCAGTCTGTGTCTGATGGTGCTGAGCTGACCTCTGGATCAGTATTAAACTGGACTATCTCAGCAGAACTTCAAAAACAAACCTCCCCGGCTCATGTGTTCAGAGCCAGTAAATTAGTCTGAATACAGCCGGATCCTGGATTTTAGAGGCTTTCTGGAACATCGGAGCCTTTTATATGCACATACGCCGCTCACTGGACGCAACAAAGACCCCTTGAAGTTATTTAAAGTAAAGAATTGTCACTGAACTGGAAATTTTAAGGTAATAAAAAAACAGTGCTCTCTGGTGGACAAATGATGTAACAGCACAGATCTTTAAGCGCATACAGTCAGTATAGTTGGCAGGGTGGCTGGATACCTAATAAGCTAATACACAGTAATTTAGCTGAAAATGCTGTGAAAAAAACTAATATTTAGGACTAAGAACAATCGGAGCTCCTGCTGCTGCCTCAGAGAAGCTGTTTGCTGCGCAAAAGGCTTTCTTGTGCTTCAGTGTGTGACAGAGAGCTCATGACAGAAGCGCAGCCTGGGCCACTTACCTGTTCACTGTATAGCACCTGGACATTTTTGATGATGCGGCAGTGTTTCTGAAGGATAGAGATGGCCTGGGAAAATGGCATCCCTGAACAAAAGCAGTGTTTCTTAAGCAGGTTTGACAATAATGGACTTTCAAAGCAGTATATTGTAAATGTGGCTTCTGACATATATGAAATGCTGATATTTGTTAATCTAGATGAGTTGGGTTCATATTAAATGTACAAAACACCCACCTAAGGCGAATTCCCATTGCTCATTTCCGAGTGATCTCTCAGGCACCACCTCCAGATCCAGCATTGGCATTAGTGGGGGGCAGCTCACCTGAAGACACAATGGGACCCTGCAGGGACCCTCTCCCTGATCACAGCACTGCTCACAGCGACGTCCGGCGGCTGCTTTAATTCATAACTCTGTGTCCGTGTCTGTCTGAAGCCACCACGGTCATGAGCATCAAACAGCTGCTCAGGTCGGCTCACAGCAAGACAAGAACCACCTTATCTCATGTCACACGTCCTTGGCATTAAAACGGTACCAGAGGAGAAGAACAACACGTGTAAATACTCCAGATGTCACCTGGCTACAGCTTCCTGGGACGTCTCAGGTGAACGAGTCGCCAGCACCGGCCGACAGGTGGACACAACTAATGACGCAATCTGTCAGCAGCCACAGACCCGGCCAGCCCTCGATCAGCTGCTTGTTTACTTGGTTCCCACAAATCGATTGAAAAAACAACCTGCATTCACTGAAATCCTACAATCCAACTTCTCCGACAAGCTCCAGGTTAATAACGGACCGCTGTTCGGCTGCGTCCCGGGTTCCCTCCGAACCGACTGATCCAGAGGCTAAACACATAAAATAATTGTACAGAGGCACGACAACAACTCCTTCAAACCCAACAACTCTCAGCGTTTTCTTTGTATTTGTCACAGCCGGGCGGTTACGAAAGCACCAAACGTTGTCAACAACACGGTCCTGCGCTACGAGCTAACGCTAGCCTTCAGCTAGCTGCCTGCTAACAGCTACAAATATAAACACCGTTCATGAGCGAGAGAAGCCCCGAAATGCAAGACAAAGGGGATTATCTACGCGCTTCAGACTGGCACGACAGAAACAAAGAGAGCACGCCAAGCGTCGGCTGTTTTTTCCTTTCTTCGCTCGGTCGGGCTCCGGAGCTAGCTGGAGCTCGCTGTACCTGCCGCTAGCGCGCAAACTCCCGACTGCTCGCGATGAGACGCGTCCCTGGTGACTCATAAACACGTCGGCCGGTAAATGCCCACCGTGTCCCTTTCTCGGCTTTAATGAGCCTCAATGTCAGGAGCAGATAAGGGCAGCACAGGGTCCAAACAACAGCAACTTCAGGCATCAACAACAGCCAGCGGGATCAGCTGATAACTCGACTTCCGGTGTCCGCCGCACGTCCTCGGTTGGCGTGATGACGTCACGGTCAGCTGACACTAACAAAAACTAATCCAAGATGTCCAAATGTTTTTCACAGTGAACTGTATTATAAGGCTGCTTTCTCCAAACCTCCTCCGTCTGTTCTCATCACAGCCATACATTCATACACACATACATACATACATATATATATA